CGTCCCCATAAATAACTCTGCGAGTTTTCAACATTTTTCGTTCAAACTTGGTCAGATAGTAGAACTAGTCTAATGCTTTCATTGAAACCAATAAAAAAATTTTAGGCAAAATTAACACTCAAAGGTGTTCTGTAACCTTAATTCAACACGCAAAAAAGTCCAGAGTGCGACACAACGTAAAATCCATAGGAAACCGGCACAGTTCTTTGAAAATTCAACTGTGTGAAATATATTTTGATCACTCAGTGAAAAGCCGCCGTTCTGAAACTGGACTGAGTATGTCACTAGAGCACTCTGCAGGCCTTGGAGTTGGAAATTGTGCGCGTGCGTACAAGTGTATGGGCTAATAAACGAGAAATGTACCACCAATCATGGCATAAGCCGGCTCAGGGCCGTAGCTAGCATGTATAGTTAGGGGGATGTAGGCCAAAAATTTCCGAATATTTCATGGCATACGAAGCCACGAAGGCGTTTGCTATCTGGAAAATGAAATGCAATTTACAAACAAAAATACAAATAGTTTACGCAAAGACATATTCCAGAAGCATGCAGTGCCGTAGGAAGCTCTTTTTTATTGGGGGCTGGGAACGAGGGCCGAGTTTTAATATGATATTTGTGATGTTACTCTGAGTATGCATCCACAGCGGGCAAGCTGAAAAGCAATAAACCGAAAAACATTTACCGATTTACGATTTTTTTACGTTATCCATGTTACCAATGGTTTATACTAACAATACCATACAGAGAACTGTTTAATTAAACAACTAAAATTTTGTTATACTATTATTGCCGTAATTTTCCGAATGGCCAACCCGATTTTCCGAATATGTTAATTCTACAAAAGTTGGGGGGTTAACCACCCCCCCCCCCCCATTAGGGAGCTTTAGATTTGACTACGAGTACGACTACGAGTACGAGATTTAATCGCGTGCGAGGAAATTACCGTAGTCGTTTTCGTTTCCATTCAAATGTTGCTTTTATAGCAGTAAACCAACAACGAGAGAAAAAGTTTCATAAACTAAATCTCCTGCATACTAAAATTCCCTACTCCCTACAAAACGTGAAAATAAGTCATAACATTAAAAACAGGCCAGATATTTAGTACTAATATATTATTTGCGCCGGATAAACGCTATATAAATCACTAATAAATGCTACAAATTATTTTTGGTAAACAAAAAAAAAGCCAACTTTCTTTTTTTTTTTTGAAAAGTCGTCGTGAGGACTACGAGATTTCTCCACAATTTCGTACTCAGATGGGCGACGGCTACGACTTTTTTGCGTCGGTACGAGATGGCGTAAGTATACAGCATGCGTTTCGCTTGACGAATCTCGTAGTCGTACTCGTACTCGTAGTCAAATCTAAAGCTCCCTAATAGGCTAATACCCCCATCGCTACGGCCCTGAGCCGGCTATTACGTACATAAATACGAGGTTGTTACCTGATAGTATTTAAATCAAGGAATGATGGCATTTTGATTTAATCGTTGCACCCTGAGCCTGCGATGCGCTAACGCAAACTCGATTTCTCAACGACGAAAACAACAGGAAAAAACAGAAACTTAGAGATTTAAGACACTTGACCTTGCAGGTCAGTGTAATTATTGAAATTATGGAATTTAGGGTTAAAGTACTGTAATAATTTGCTTGTGTGATGTTACTCTGAGTGTATATCCACACCGGGCAGGCTTGAAAAATATGCCTGGCCACGGTGGGAATCGAACCTACGACCTTTAGAATACTAGCCCAACGCTCTGCGGCGCCAACTGAGCTACGCGGTCAGGTCGATTCGGGTATACGATATTTCGGAACTGAGTCTAGTTCCTTCGATATCAGTGTAATCTAATAATCATGATGTTTGCCGTATTGGTGTAATGTACATTACACAGCAAATATCATGATTATTAGATTACACTGATATCGAAGGAACTAGACTCAGTTCCGAAATATCGTATACTAGCTCGAACCGACCTGACCGCGTAGCTCAGTTGGCAGAGCAGGGCCTTTTTTAATGCCCCTCCCCAGTCGCCCCTTGTGCCACCGTCCCACGAAATCACATTTTGCCCCCCCCCCCCAGGAAAAGTCCCCTTTCCCTAAAATTATAGAAACAAACCAGCGAAGATTAACAAATAGATAAACGGAAAGTAATTTTTAGCCTTTATCCTTTGTCCTTGTTTAACAAAATCGATTTAAATTGTTACTTTTTTCTACCACTAAGTAATGATAAATTATTGTCAATAATTTTTTTATTTTTTGGATGCTCAGAATGCAGGAAATAGCATTTCTATAATAACATTACTTGTACTGCAAAAAGTGACTCATTAAACTATCTATCTAGTTATTAAAAAATAATATTTTCATTGCATTATACAGGACTAACAATGCGGAAGAAACTGGTAACAAGGGATGGTTGGCAGGTAATCATAGAATATGAGTTTTTCACGTTTTTGCAAAGGAGGCAGAGCCCCCAGGATGCTTCACATTAAGGTTTTAACATTGGCAAACATGCCCCCCACCGGGCACACGACGTTGTTTCAACGTTGAAATTTGGTAGAAAAAAGGTTGCGACGTCGACAACCTAATATCTACGTTGCTGACGTTGTTTTACAAACATTGGTTCAACAGCAGCCAACAGACGTTGAATTAACGTTCATTCACGGTTAAATGTACGACGTCGATTTGTGAACCAATCTCAACGTTGTTTTAACGTGGATTCAACGTTGAATTATGGTTGACGAGATTGGCAACCTAATTTCAACGTTGTTTCAACGTCGAAACAGTAACGTCAATCCAATTTGCATAGTCAACCCTTTTTCAACGTCTATCCAACGTCTGGAAGGTCATTTCCAACGTTGATTCAACGTTGGATAAACGTCATTTTGCCCGCTGGGCCCTGCTTATTATCCTTGTAATCAAATCCACAATTTGTCAATTTCTAATATGCCGTGTTCCAAATACCGGCATCATTATTTTCCATTAGAATGCTATAGAACACAACTCAACTGGAATGCAAACAGAGTTTAATCTTATTTTCTAGTATATTTCTTTATTAATGGTTTAACTTGGTACTTTTTGCCTTTCTTTGTTAGGTCTTGCAACATTCACGTTTATTTTCGTTGGTCTTGCTGTGACTGGCTTCGTCCTTTCTTATGTGCGGTTCACAACAGTAAGTTTATTAGAATAACGAGGACAAAATACTGTACAGTTATCTTTCTCAAACTCATCAATAATTCGTGATAAAAAACGCTCATAAATTAACTCCACTATCATATCGGCTCACCTTGAATTTCTGGACGTAATATAACAAATTCGAAAACTATTTATTACCGGCGTATAAGACACCTCACGTGAAAAGCTTTTTCAACATACTTTTCGGTAGTGAGTTCGATCCCTGCTGGGAGATTTTGGTTATTTTCTGCACAGGGATTGGAATGAGTATAAAAACATGATACTGTTTTCATTGATGTAGAGTGATGGATGCAGTTTGAACAAGTTTATAATCAGTTTCAATCTCATTCTCTGCATTGTGATGTTGGTGGTGTCCATTTTACCAAAAATACAAAAAGGTAAACTTAAGAGAGGTTTCACTTTCACCTATTATTATTACGACGAGCGAAAAGGATAGGCTGTAAATAGATATGCGGTGCACAGGGTAAAAAAATATGGTAAAAAAAAGGCTTATGCTAATATCCAGGTGTACTTTTTGTTTTAGTTCAACCCAAATCTGGTTTGCTGCAATCTTCTATTATCTCTCTATATCTGTCTTATATCACACTGACTTCTCTTGCGAGTGAACCGTTTGATCTGGGTACGTAATCGTAAGATACTTCATAACTTTTCAGGGACGGATCTAGCTAGCCTCATCTGCAAGGAGGGGAGAAGGTTTTCAATGGAGTGGTGCATGAGGGAGCCGCAAGCTAGATTTCCAACTGCAAGAAAAGTTTTGCTGTCGATATTTTTCGCTTAATTTCTTTTAAATTGTGCAATTGAGCGGCTGATTTATTTGGATGGTCACAATTCAAAATAATTCAAGCGAAGTATTTGCCTGGACATTTCTCTGCAAGAGGGAATCCACCTTTACTGCGCCACTCTCCTCTGCAGTCTGCAACGCTACTATCCCAGCATTATCATTATTTAATATGATATAATACATTATATTTTGTTTATCATACTGTATCAAGATCATACTTTTTCTTCAGTTGAAAATTTGAACAACGTAGAGCATGTTTTTTGTTCGTAATTGCTTGGGCGGATTTGTACCCAATAATTTTGTTGTTTAATTATTTCAAGATTCTTGCCTGAACCAATACTTTAGACAACTTGCATGTTACTTAAACTAATTTTTGATCTAGGCAAAAAGAAAATTCCCATAATGAACTTATTAAAATAAGTAAAATTGCCCAATTTTTTTTTACGAAATGTTGTGAAATACGGAGTCTTGCGAAGTTTGCACATTTTGTATGTTTGTATTACGTGCTGAAATCAGTGTTAATGGTAACAATTTCTGCACGTAATATATACAAACATATGCAAAATTTTCAAACTTTGCAAGGCTATATTTTCCAAGCCTCACAACATTTCGCAACAAAATTTTGCAATCAGTTTACTAATTTCATTATGTTCCTGTGGTGTTTGATTCCCTTCTCTTTACGTAGATTAAAATTTTGTCTAACATGCAAGTTTTTGTCCATTACCTAAGATACGTACTGAATATATCAGAAATTCGTTTTATTATATCGGCCCAAAAACCTATAATGATCTTCCAACTGACATTGGAAAGGTATTAAACTTTAACATGCAGCATTGTTAAAATGGTCAAGGACTCTTTCTATTAGAAATTTTCAATGTCGTAATATAGACTGAGAAATATAGTATAGTTATTTAATATATTTAGAATTTTGCCAGGACACACATTGATAAAGATCTATTTTCTGATGTAAATCTGCTATCTATCTAATGTTTATAACTGCACATGCAGTACAGCAAAATTGCTTGTTAAAGTACTGTATATTGTATTGTATAACAACCTCGACGTGTTTACATATTTAACCACGATATTTAACTAAAGCCGATTCTCAGTATTTTTTCGTCATCTCATAAATCAATTAAATCGCCCCCCCCCCCCCCCCCCCCCCCCATCCCCTCCAGGTGGATCCACCCTTGTAACTCCTTGAGAATAATATTCTTTTAGCTTTATAGTAACATTATAGTAATGCAAATTGTTACTAACCGCATTTAATTCATTTTGTAAATGAACTGTACTTATAGACATGGCAAGCAACTCGACCACAACGACATGCGGCATTACGGTTTCAAAATTTGGAGGATCTCAAAACACGACAATGATTGTTGGTCTTGTCGTTACATTTGTCATGATCATTTATGCAATGTATGTGTATTTCTTGGCTATAATTGTAACATTTGATCCAATGAGAGTCCTTAAACACATATTTAATAGCACAAGTATTTTATGTTTTAAATGTGTTTGAAACTAATAGCTATTTATGAATTTTTATATTAAGTTTGAAAACATCTGGAAGTGCAGATCAAATGAAAAACTACAGCACAGCTGCTGGTAAGATCCAACTTTATTCTCCATCCTCCGATTAAATTCTGAAGGATCAAGGATTTCAGTCTACATATGTGCGAGTGTTTAATGAATTTACAAGCGAGATTTGCTTTCGATTTTTATCAGCTTGTCGAGAAACTATCAACCAGAGCTTTTGTCTCTATCTACTAAACAAATCACAAACTGCACATCGTCAAATGAGCTCAATGGCAATGCCAATCTGTCATTTAAGTGAGAGTTTGCTATCATCCTTACTTACATGCAGCTAAGATCTAGGTTGATAGAGGCTTTTTAAGGGCACCTGCTGCAGCCACCTTATGACTCATGTCTGATAACGGAGTACAGCTACGGTGGAAGGGTCTGTTTGGAGCTTATCGTGACCCACCCTAGCCCTGTCAACATTAGAGAGTTTGAGCAAGATAACGAAGTACGAAGACGAGGCCATACTTGACAATTTTTGCCGTCTGCATATTATCTTATGCATATTGTGTTGGACGTCACTGGTGGTTGGTCAACGTGTCTTCCCATGTGTCGCTGTTTATGAATACTGACCATAATTCTTGCACTGATCCAGAAAAAAACAGGGAGACATGAAACTATATCCCGTCTTTGTTCTTGTGCGACTGTGCCTTTGTGCAGAACGAAGTTGACAACGAATTTTGCCAAAATATTCGTTGTGAACGAAGGCAGAAGAACGAAGACGGGATATGTATTCATGTCTCGCTGTTTTGTCCTTGGGTCAGCATTCACAAATAGCTAGACATGAATCTCTAATCTGTCTTCACTCCTGACCCTAAACTTAGAATGCGTAAGGTAATGTGCAAGACAGGCAAAAATTGTCAACCACGTCGTCGTCGTTCGACTTCGTTGTCTTGCTCAAACTCTGTATTCCCTGTAGGAGGAAAAGCGGAGTACTCGGAAAAAACCCCACGATTTCGGTAGAGCGTTGACTGACTCTTGTCCAGGGCCGTACACAGCGGGAGAGGGCAGGGGAAGGGGGCAACTGCCCCCTAGAGAAAACTATATATTTACGATTCTTAGAATGTCATTATTAATTATTCTTTGGATATTTGGGACTTTTTTAAGCATATAGGCCTTACTGCCCCCCTCCCCCCTGGTGAAGGCATCGTGCGTACGGACCTGGTCTTGTTACGCAAGTGTCACGCTTGAGTCCGTAGCGAGAATCGGACCCACAATCTCAGAGGTGAAATGCGCTTAATTGCTCTAACGATTGCGCAACGTTTGGCCCCTTTTTTAAGCTAAAAGACAAAGTTAGCCCATGAGTGCCCCATTTTTAGGCTAAAAGACAAAGTTAGCCCATGAGTGCCCCTTTTTTAGGCTAAAAGACAAAGTTAGCCCATGAGTGCCCCCTTTTTTAGGCTAAAAGACAAAGTTAGCCCATAAGTGCCCCTTTTTTAGACTAAAAGACAAAGTTAGCCCATGAGTGCCCCTTTTTTAGACTAAAAGACAAAGTTAGCCCATGAGTGCCCCTTTTTTAGGCTAAAGGACAAAGTTAGCCCATGAGTGTCAGATTTCTCTTCCCTTTTTCGCCAAAGGTTTAATTTCTGTGCATTATTAGGTTGTTCATCATTTATACATTATTTTGAGTGTTGAGAAGTCTAAGAGATTTCTTTACACACTAGGTACAGATGAAGAGAAAGGCAAAGTTGTGACTGGCAGAGATGAAGTGATCTACAATTATTCATTCTTTCATTTTGTTTATCTTCTTGCATCGCTCTACATCATGATGGTCATGACAAACTGGGTCAAGTAAGTGAACAATATTTAACGCTTCAGTTAAGAGCGTATTGGTTCGGACTAACTTTATCTTGTACTCTCGGTTCTAAACATCTAAACTGCTCTTCTATAGTTCTATTATACTGATTATCCCTGTCAGTTCTAAACTTTCTTCCTAGAGGTCCAATAAAGGATATCCCTTATTTGTCCAGTTTTACTTCAGGAGAAAACCTAGCTAACTTTATTTATACTGAATAGTTCCATCAGTTCTAAACTGTTCTCAGTCTCAAGTTTTACTTCAGGAGGAAACAGTGTTCCTCCGAGGTCCAATAAGTGTCACCCTTGGTGGTGCAGTGTTGCTACAGGAAGAAACCTAGAGCGAGTGACCCTATCAGTACTAAATTGTCCAGAACTATTCTTCCTAGAGATCCTGTCCTCCTAAAGGTCTTTACATATTGGCGATATTGCTCCGGTGTTATTACCGAAGGAAATCTAAACTAACTTAATTTATTTGTCCTGGATATCCCTATCAGTTCTAAACTGTTCTTCCTAGAGATCCAGTCCTTATACTCCAGTATTACTACAGGAGAAAATCTAAACTAACTTTATTTGTCCTGGATAGCTCTATCAGTTCCAAACTGTTCTTCCTAGAGGTCTAGTAAAAGTCGCCACATATTGATCCTGCAGTGTTTCTAAAGGAGGAAACCTAAACTAAAAGTAATAAAAGTAACTTTATTTGTACTGGATAGCTCTATCGGATCTAAACCGTTCTTCCTAACGGCTTTTCTCGCATACCACAGAGGAGCTTATTGTTGTTTTTTTTTATAGGCCAGACCAGTCGGACACAGAGAACGTGCAGGGAACATGGGCAGCATTTTGGGTGAAGATTGTCACAGGCTGGGTTTGTGTTGTGCTGTACTTCTGGACCCTGATTGCTCCTATTTGTATGCCGAAGCGTGATTTCTCTGCATCTTATGTTAAAGCTTAAAACCCTTTTCGACTTATTTGCTTTAATATAATTATTAGTATATACTTTGTATCGGTCCTTTAATATGTGACATAATATTGAGTATGGGGGTATGAATATAAGTAGTTCAAATTGTAGTTTATATATACCATTGTTTGTCAGTTTTGTACCAATAATGGCAATATTGCAATAACTGGTTTGATTTGTAGAAAGTATATGTAAGTAAGTTCTAGTTGGAACAGTGAAGAATGGCAAGTATGTAAGTTCTTGTAGCCAGCGGTTTAGTTAATTAGCCAAACTTTGCTTAACAAATTAGATATTGACTATTGTATTAGAAAGATGATTTTAGTTTGCATAATGGTTTGTGATATAAAATAAGTCGAGGCAATGTTTTTCAATGTCGCGTATGTGCGATGAATAGTGCTCAAAACCGAAAATCCTTTTGGTGTTCCTCCTAAAATTACTTTGTTTTAGCTTTATTTTTATTTTTGTAGTTTACACACAGTTTAGCAACCTTTTTGGGAAACACAAAATAATCGTTAAATATTGACAATTTAGAAACAATTATCAATGATGCTATAAAAATTGATGCCATATTTATACAGCAATACAGGTATAAGCCAAACATACTGAACTTCAGACATCATTTTCTCTTTGCCTTTGGCGTACCATCTAAAATCTCTCCGTTTTAGCAGGCATGTAGTAAAACACCGACTACCGGAACACCTCCCAACCCTAACCCCCAACCCTAACTCCAAACCCTAACCCCAAACAAAATGGTGGTGTTCCGGTAGTCAGTGTTTTACTACATGCCGTTTTAGCATAATCAGTTTATAAAAAAATGAATACAATCATAACCAAGTCTGGCAAATGAAAAGTATATTAATTAACGAACGCTGCGTTTTCTGTCACATTAAAGACCACCTTTTCCATCTAGTACGGAAACACAGCATGGATTAATTTCAGGGAAATCGTACATTGGCTCGGAATTATTGGACGCCAGATTGACGCTGTTTACCTTGATATGTCCAAGGCTTTTGACAAATTCCAGGGTTCGTACACCTTCATAATTTAAAAAATCCAGGGTTTTCCAGGAACTTTTTTCATCCTTTTTCCAGGGGCATTTGAAATATAAATCTATAAGTGTTTAACGGATAAGAAACGTTCGCGACGGCTAGTACTTCATCTTGCACAGACATTTTATAGGTTTGTGCCTGCAGTTTGAACGAAAGGTCGCGCCGTATGCCCAAGAAATGCTGCGACTATATATAATTCAAGAAACTTTTGCTCATTCTTTCTTTTTAAGAGCGTTTTAAAAATAGTGTAGGTATAATCCTATACCCAGCTCAGTTAGTTTCTTTTTAAGATAGTCTTAAATAGTTTAGGTATAATCCTATACCCAACTCAGTTTTCCAGGGATAAATTTGAAATTCCAGGGTTTTCAAGGGTTTTTCAGGACTACAATAAAAATCCAGGGTTTTCCAGGGGGCGTACGAACCCTGAAATTCGAACAAGAGCGCCTCGCACACAAGTCGAGCATGGCTAGATGGGAGGTAGACTTATTCAATGGTTTCATTCCTACTTAAACTTAAAGGGGCAATGTCACCGACTTTTGACCTAAAATGCCTTTTATTCAAAAACTGATCAACTTCAAAGTTAAAAATAAACATTGTAAATGGATTAAGTTATGATATACGAGTAATATTAAACAACTTTGAACATCCACACAATATGACATTTTCATAAAAATTGGAATGACAAAAACTTGAAAAAGTGTCTGCCAACAATTAATCAAGATGCCATTTACAATCATAGAATATCTATGACTATGTTTACAATCCATCTCAATCCTGGCGTTATCTTTCCCACCCACAGATTTCTGTACATGTTTTTTGTGTCTGCTATTGCTTTATTTTGTGCTTACACTCATTCCTTTTCAGTTTTGGGCACAATTTGCGAGGGTTGGAATTGCTTAAAAAACATTGCTATTGGTTTGTTGAGCAAAAATACAATACACATGTGACGGCGAAGAACCAGATTTATGAATAAACGTTGACTAACATAGATAAGGATTTATATTGTTATTCCAAGGAGTTTCACAGCCATCTTCCCTTCGATAGGCTAAGGTCTAACGGGGCCACAGTAATTGGCTCGCGCAGTTACGGATTAATTGTAACATAACAAGGCAAAGCTAATATTGTGATAAACGTACTAAATTAAATTACTTTAGTTTTGAGCGCGTGTTACACGACATTTTAAGATTCTCCTCAACAAGTTGTTGGACATCTAAACTTATGAGTTCTAGCATGAGGCAGTGAGATAGTTTGGCATTGGACATACAAATTACCAGAACCCAGTGCATAGCCATAGGAGCGTAGATGTTTTGTTGTAGTTTTTCTCCACTAATACTAAGGCAAACCAATTTTATTATGAGTCTGCATGTCACAAAACCGCTGTCATAATGGTTGCATCTGAATCTCTACATAACTCATAAGACAAACTTAGACTAAGTGTCCGAAAACATCTTAAAACGTGAATAGCTTCAGCTTTTACGTACTATATTTTCCATTTTGCAAATCATTAAAGGTTAAACTATAACACCGCTGAAAACAAAGTCACAATCAAACACGCTAAATTTTATTAAAAAGTTTTGATCTAGTATTAATCAAGCTGGAACCACGACTATACCAAACACAGCTCATGAAGACACCGACTAAGATTGATTCCCAATGCCCTTCTAACAGTTGCCAAAACTTTTCCATATAATAAGGTTATCAATCTACGCTAAAATGTCCCAAAAATACAAAATTTCGTTCAGTTGGCTTCAATCGTGTGTATGGCCCAGGCGGGAGTGCAATTCTCGAGTATCAGTGTGTGTTGTTTTGTGTTGTTTACATGTCCTTTTTGTCTTCTTCCTCCTCTGCTTCTTGTTGTTGTTGCTTCACATACTGGTTGAGAGCTTCGTTCTTGGCTGGAACAAGAAACAAGAAACAAAATGGTTAATTGTTGTTTGGATAAACATAGCAGCATGCTAAGTGATTAAGGGCATGCATGACACTTTCAGCACTATCCAGAAACAAGTGTGGATAAAAATGTGGGTTTCCTATTTCTTCTTGTAAAAACTTGGGTGGGGTAGGTCGGTTTTAACTTTTTTTCTAAATTTTCCTAACATCCGGACGCCATGTTTGTTTAGTCAGTGCTTCCACATCCAAAGATAAATTTCCCTAATATTGCCTCAAATTTCCATTTTCCACAAAACGTTTTCCTCTAAGTGGAAACACTTACAAGCTAGTTAAAGTTCAGTGAGCATGATGCAATAAAAAGTTTAGGGATGGGATTTCGGCATCCACAAGCTAGGTAGCGTCGGAAAAGCGGAAACCCACTTATTTTTTTTGGCCTAGTTATGTTTCTTTGAGAGAAAAACTCTGGGGAGAGAATTTTGTTTGCTATCTTATCATTTTGCTATATTTGGATACTCCTGCTGATTGGCTCAGCTACATTAAAGCCTTGAAGTACTTGTTACAAACATTTAAGTTTCACACAAGTATGGACAATGTTTTTATCAGCGATTGTTCATCATTTGATGCAATTGTTGGGCTACTACAAAAGGCCAGGTCTTGCATACCTTGCTCCATAGCTTGGTTTGCCGCGCTGCTTGCCACAGATGACGCTTCATTCAACACTTCATCAAACTCAGCTTGATGTTTCACAACAAAAGGTTTGATAAATCTGTGATAGACGACCATGCTGCCGTTGGCAGAGATTGGAGCCATACACCAGACAAGGAAGATCAACTACATCAAGTATAGATTAACAAAGATAGATTAACAACAGTTAGTTTTTTGTTAAGGTAGCAGGTGTGAATTAGAGGGAAAATCTGTTTTAGCAAATTTCCTTGAAATATAAAATATAAATTTTCAAAAGTCAAAACACTCCAATCAAATTCACTGAAACATGGATTTTGAAAAGTGGAAACACCGGAACGATAACTCCAGGTAAACTGCCCTATGATTGGGTGGAGCCAAGATGGCAGCCTATAGAATGCTCTCTTGTAGGTATGAAACATCAGGGTTCAAAATAACGGTTTGTGATTCCAATTTTCATTTTTCACGAAGCAATTTCATAAAAATTTATCAAAATCACGAATCAAAAGTCTCTCAAATTGATAAAAATATACAATAATAAATCCAGTTCTTTGTACATGTGATGAAGGACCATATATTTTGAAGATATTGTTTTAAATTGTACTTAAAAACTATTATAATCCAACCAAAATTCTATTTCTTTGCAAGTTTGCGATTTACAGTATATATTTGAAAATTGCAGTGCTTCCACTTTTTAACTTCCAATTAGTGAAAATTCCATGAAAATTCCTTAAAATTTCCGTAAAATAAAAAAATCAATTCACGAACCATTTTCTCAGAATTAATTCGAACCCTGGAACTTGTTTTTCACTCGTCAAATAACTTTGCTTTTTATGATATACAGTAAATAAATATGCAGTACACATGCATGCACAGGTTTTTTCACGAATAATCTGATGAGACAACAAACTGTTGTTCCATTAGGTAAAATAACAAATGTTTCCTGCAAGACATATAATGATTTCCTGTCAAGATTTTTGGCAAGAGTTCCTGGCAGAGATATGATATTATGAGTATACATCATTTTTAATTAATCAGTCATACCAGAAAACATCCATACCTCCCTCACAGAGGGAATTGGAAGTTAACCCCAGCTCTACCCCCTTCAAACATTGTTAATACTAGTGACTAACCGATAATCATATCGGGCCTATTTCTGCCTTATCGGTAGACAATCGGAATCGTAAAATTGTCTATATTTCCAATTTTCTAAAACCAATTGTTGAGAAAATGCGCACTTTAATTAAAAATGATACGCATTGCACGTTGGTACACATTGCGTTTGAACGCAATATGTTAAATTAATGCGTGAAGCATACCATTCAGTAACGGTTTTAACAATCTTTGGTTGCAGTAACAAGTTACATTGGAAATTATCGTTTAAAAATCGACATGAATGACTGATATTATGGCATCATCATAAAATCGGCATCGGTATCTGGCAGATTGTGGCATGAATAACCTGTGATTTCGGATTGTTGCACAATCGGTCAATCACTATTCACTAGCAAATACCTCCCCCTCAACGGCAGAAATTTCCTCTGTGGGGGGAATGTGAATCTTTTCTGGCATGACCCAATATGCTGCTTGATATTTTTAACACTAGCAGTTTATCAAAAAAAATTTTTCAGGTAAATAAAACGTCAGTTGCCAAGTGAACTCTGATTTTTCCTTCCAGAGATTCCAGCCACCACATCACCACAAATAGAAAGAGCATATTAAAATTAGTAAAATTGCAAAGTTTGGCTGTGAAATGTTGTAAGATGCAGAAAATATAGCCCTGCAAAATTTGCAAATTTTTTATTAATTTCTAGATATTATGCACGGGGAATGCCCGACTAAAATGCAACATATTTGGCCCGAAAGTGGTGCATTTTCCTGTGCTTAATACAAATTAATACAAAATTTGCAAAATCTTCTAAAATTTGCAAATTTCGCAAAGCTAAATTTTCCTCATATTACAACATTTCGCAATCAAACTTTGCAATTTTACTAATTTCAACATGCTCTTTCTAGCTGTGGCGATGGATTTTGTTCTTCTTGCCTAGATCAAAATTTAGTCTGTAGCTGGAATAATCTATTGCTGAGTCAAATGCTGAAAGGCACATCATATTACCTTGGTGAGGAAATAAAATGGAAACCACGAAAAGAGGAAATCAGAAAAATATTCCACGACAGTGAACACAGCATACACAATCCAGTAAATGAGCCATTGTGTGTCATCGTCCTTGGTAACACTCTCGACAGCTTTAACCCTGCAAATATTAAACAATTATATATTGGCAACTCTGTGCATATCAATCTGGTGGATATCTGTCGTGTAAGCAGTGATTCAAAATGAAATTGTCCGACCAAATTTAAAAATTTTAAATCAAATTTCGTTTTAGTTGGACCTATTTCTGGACAATTTTGCGTGTTATTTCAAGCTTTGATACATTTCCCAGCCCGCCATTACGATATTTTTGCTTGTCACTTGCACAACCGAATGAGTTTTGGACAGGTAGTTCATGTCCTGCCCAATCTAAAATCCAAAATCCAAAATTTTGAAAATTAAACTAAATCGTTTCAAAGCGGCATCTGTGTATAAAATTGGCTCAATAAACTTCTAAAATATTCATGTTTAGGATACGTTTAAGTAACTCCTAACCAAAAATTAATCAACAGGTTCAAAGTTCAAAATTTTGTGCTCGGACAAACCACAGGGTTCACTCCCAGAAATGCAAAACAGTTTAGGTTTTTTCTTCAAAACTTACGATGCATATGCGGGGTAAATCGCGCCCAAAGCGTTCACAATCAAAGCAGCACCATAGCCAAAGATGAGATACAAAGAGAACAAGCCGATAGCACCTAAAATAAACGAACAACATTATTAACACGAGAACCAACATTGAAATCTTGCGGTCGCATTATTATATTTATAAAGGACTTTGCAAACATATTACCTAAGAAGATATTTAGGCGATTAACTTTCGTTTTCTCTTCCACTTTCGCTAAGGCACTGACGAATGCATTATCTTGGTGTAAAAAATTATTCAATTCCTCTTTATAATGCTGTATTTTAGCGGTCATCTTTCCACAAAAGCTTCCCAAAGTGACTAGACAAAGTTTGCAAAATTTCGAAACGAGATCGAAGCGAATTTGCTAGAATGACGTCGTTTGCATAAATGTCGGTCACGTGCAACCCAGCCCAATGCACTGATCTCATAATGTTACTGGATTGTGCAACCCACATGTGGTATATTATATTTATTTTGACATATAAAGCATCTCAAAGTGAAACAGTACATTTCTACCGTAATACACACTTAAAAAGGTATTAGTCCTATAGCAATTAAGGTATTAGCTCCTGTACTGTAGCAATGGCTGACTACGTACTGGTTTCTTCTTGAAACACTAGTCTCATTAGTCATTAGACGCATATATTACCATGCCAACAAAATGTCTTGAAAACAATTTTGATTAAATTGCTAGAATTTTGCTAACTTTCGCTTGTAAAGCTGTATGTAAATTCTCACAATACTAAACTGCAATCTATAGTATTTCTGTTTCGTTTTACAATTGGCAGAATGACTGAAATTTAATTTTAATTTTAGCTTAAAAGCTTGCAACTTTGACCAACTTTCAACTAAAAATCGTGTTGCGCAAAAAACTGAAAAAAGTAATCTGTTATCACTTAAAAAACATCATTGCGCAAGTTGTTTGTTCAGCTTTTATGCAAAGATTTACACTGTATATGATTAGGTGATTATTCAGGACGGCAATTTTTCTGAAAACTATATAGTCTTGTCACTGACATATTGCTCCACTTGAATCTGCAAACACACAAGTGAACTGCACTCACAGTTTGTAAATTGAGTAATTAATTCTGGCAATGAGTGACCCACGTTCATGTTTTTAATATCACAGGCCAGAACCGCTCAATATGTGTGTCAGTGGTGAATGTATGTCATATATAGTTTCTTTTCGTAAATCATAAGCATAGTCAATATTTTTGAGGCCGACATAATCGTTACTAGAAATGTTTTTAGTTCGTCGACGTTAATGACGTTCCGTGAAATAGTCCTAGTACATTTGACATGCAATGCTTTCTCGAATTCTCGGGAGTCAGCGTTATGAATATGCCCGCACTTTGCAATCATTCAAAAATCAAAATGCATGTACATGTCTCGTGTGGGAATAGTATGTCGATGACACATATTTGTGAACAACTCGTTTGTGTCACTTTATGCATGTGACCTAGATTCTGTAGAAAGTATTTAGAAAACCTTTCATACTGTCATACACTACCAAACTAAACACAAAAATGTTGACGATCCCGAATTCCAATCACAACCAATTTTGTTGTTTTATACTTCTCAGTCTTCTCAATCGCAGCTTTACCTTTCGCTAAAGTTTCGTTCTCAATGCCAGGAATAATAGGTTGTCCAAACTGCGAGTTTCTTGCTCTGCTGTTTGCCATAACTGCATTTGGATGACGACGGCAGTGTGTTTACTGATAAATGCCAGTATAGGTGGCTTTTATCATGTTCCAGTTCACTGCACACGGAGGGTATTTAAACAAAAGAATCTTATTTGAGGGCCCTGAAGGGGTAAAATGGGAACTGGGATTGACCTATTTTTAGACTGGGAAAATGGGATTTGGGTTGCTGGGACTGGGATTTGCTCACTGGGAATGGGAAATGAAGTCCTCAAAAATGGGAATGGGATTGAGGTAATGCGAGTCGATTCCCAATTTTTCTGCGTTTTGAGTATTTTAAAATACAATTTTGATCCGTTTTTGGTGTCTTTGGTCATGATTTTTGTTGTTAACTATATTATTCACAGCACTACCTGCGAACAGGCATACTCTGGCGCCCGGAATTCTGGGTTTTCTGATTAATGCGTGTCTCAGAATGCTGCAAATGCCATTTCCGGGATTCAAATTTAAAAATTTTCCGTGCCTTCGGCACGAGCCCCCCCTAATATTTCATAAAGTGTCCGCCACTTGCTTAAAAGGTCTTAAAACTGTTTATTCTACCGATAAATAAAGGGTTTTTTATTGACTGGGATTTCAATAACAGTGGGACTGGGATTTCTAATAAAAATCCAACTGGGACTGGGATTTTGCCAAAATTTCAGGTGGGAAATGGGATTGGGACCCCCCCTTCAGGACCCTCTTATTTGAGTCTCAGTATTTATCCTCAATCTGCCTTTGTGTTGAAGACTCGTGGGATTGCTTGAATCTTGGACATAAGTCACATGTATTCAAAATTATCGTACCCTTATGATAAATTATCTTAAGCCCCCGCTCCCCCAACTCAATGACAATGTTGAGCTAATTGTGTCATGGTAATTTACCAAAACTCGTTTCGGCGCTGCTTATGAACATTGTACTGGGGAGAGACTCAGAGGGGGCATGGCCTATCTATGGGCATGGCCTATCGAAGGGAAGATGGCTGTGAAGCTCATTAGAATAACAATATAACTATTATGATGTTAGTCAACGTTTATTCATAAATCTGGTCGTTTCACCGTCACGTGTGTATTGTATTTTTACCAAATCCACCAATAGCAATTTCCAGTTTCCCTAGGCCAAATAAAAAAAATGGTTGGTTTCAGGTTTCACAGCCATGTTTTATATGGGTAGGTAGGTGGGAAAAACATTTTATTTTAAAAAATATTTTATTTCAAGTATGCAATAAATATAAGTTAAAACTCATTATAAACTCTTAGTTTTTATTGTTTTTACATGTGTTTTGCGAGAAACATGTTACAGTACATGCAAGCCACATGTGTTTCGCGAGAAACAAACGCATCAAGGCGTTTTCATCTTTTTT